AATGAACATGCCAAAATAGCTACAGCAAAACATATCTTAATCTCTCCTCTATCGATTTCAGTCCCGCAAGATGACCATCATAAAGACAGTCATACTCTGTGAGGTCTCCGATTCATATTCTACCAGCAGCTTTACCTAATATCATCCATGACAGGAAATAGAGATTGTTGCATGCACATGCGATAGGATTGTGCGATAAAACCACTTTTTATATTAAACTTAATAACTTGTGATGGTTAGAACTAACGCGTATTTAACCAGCGTATCTTGTTCCAATAGTACTGTACAGTGGTAAGATTTTTCACATGACTTATCAAAATATATCAAAATATAATCCATAAATCTTATAACTGGACAGATTAAGTGTTGTCAGAGATGTACGACCTTAAAAGACCTTCGGCGAATCGTGTGCTATTAAATAAGAAACATGTCTGAAGATTAGAAAGTGATCTAAACATTACCCCTTGGTTTTCATTGCTGATCATATTCCGAAGAATGTCATGGGAAATGTACAGCTCTTGTAAAAGTGGAAAATAATTACTCGTAAATAACAAGATCAGCAACCTAACATGTGACATCTATCTAAGGTTATCTAAGCCTGGCTCGTTGGAAGGTCAAAGTGAATGTACCGTATGCTATTTCTCGAAACATTTCATTATGTGAACATTATTTGCGTGAATGCAAATTTTATTTACCTTATGTTAGGGGGAACAGTTATTCTTGTCCCATGTTCCTTTACGGAATATGTGGAAATGGTATTGTACGTTTTCATCAACTCTAACCGCCGCGTCAAAACATTACTAACATCGCAAGTAGACGTTTGGAAATTAAAGGAAGAAAAGGCAGGAAGATGAGGTCCAAACGTGCCACTGTGATCAACGTCTTCTAATCCCGTTAGCCTTAGAACAAGGAATACATAACTGTAATATGCAAACGTCTTTCCTTCCAGAGAAGCTTTTTACAATGCTTAAGGGATGTAAGTGAGAGCAGCGTCGTAAAAGATCGATATTATGCTATTATCACATTGACTTTTTATGAAATTCAGTTAGATTTTTATGTTTAAGAATTTCCTTCTTGTGGAGGCCATTTCAAAATTTGACACATCAGTAACAAAAATGATGTCCGATGCAAATACTATTTTGATTTGTACCATATGTTCCCATGTTTTTTTCACGTGAACAATTGACTTGCCTTTGCATGTGTTAGTGACGGGTGCCACCTGTTGGACAGGATAGGCTCACCTTTTGCCAACACCTGGATTCATTACTTATAGTCTATTTGATAGTGATTCGCAAACACAAGCTCATGCATGATAAAGTCGGAATTGTCAATAGACTTTTTATGTTTTATGCAGAGATTTCTATTGGATATGGAAAGGGTTTTGTCGCTTTATTCAACAAGGACATACATTTCATGGCCCTCTAGTATATTGTTTATGTATAAACATTTGAGGGAAGAGGCAGTTCCATATGTAGCATTTGTGACATTTCAGAGTCCTAAATGTTCATTAAGAGAGTAGTCTAATGTCTTAAGATGGGCTTGACAGTATTTATTACTAAGACAGTAATTTTTTAGTGGATATCAAAATTTTCAATGTATCTTAGGAATACAAATGTGCTGTAATGATTTAATTGTACATGCCACATTTTTTGCTTTCAATACGGGGGGCGGTCGGGTACCCTAGTGGTTAAAGCGTTCGCTCATCACGCCGAAGACCCGGGTTCGATTCCCAACATACAATGTGTGATGCTCATTTCTGGTGTCCCCCGCCGTGATATTACTGGACTATTGCGAAAAGCGGAGTAAAACCATACTCATTCACTCACTCAGTACGTTAGGTTCGAAAACCAAATGTGTTCTTATATTTGCAATGAATATACATTATTGTGAGATACTTTCTGTTCCCTATGGCGGCATCTGGGTATGTTATTTTACTGTTATGGACCTCATCTTTGTCCTGAAACTCCAGAACAGTAAGTCTCTGTAACCTTTGAAACAACGTTGGAGCAATCTTTGAGTAAGTTAACATTTAACTTCGCATCGCTGATTAATGTTTCAGTCATAGGGCGAAGTGTATGATGCGACATGACAAAATGCTGTGTTCAAATGATTGCTGGAACACTTCCAGTGTGCAGGTACGCTTTACATGTGTTCAATACTTATGCATAACTTTGTACGTTTTACACTTGTTCAGTACTTGTGCATGTACACTTTACATATGTTCCAAAATTATGCATGTACGCTATACGTGTTTTTAACTCTTAAAACATTATGGAATGCATCGCTGTAATCCTTTTTCACATGAACGTCGAATGATGGCAGCCACTGAAACGATAAATATGCATGCCAACCTACAACGCATGAAAGTCCTTCAATAAGCGTAGGAAACGTTTAACGGTTATAATTTGAATACAACCTTACATTATTAGCTTTAGCGTCAGAGTAAGTTAACATTTAACGTCGCGTCGCTGATAAATGTTTCAGTCATAGGATGAAGTGTATGATGCGTCATAAAAATGTTTGTTTTTCTGTGTTTATATTTCTGCTGGACAACATTTCCAATATCCATGTATGCTTTACACGTGTTCGGTACTTGCACACGTGCGTCTTACATGTTTAAACACTTATGTATGCATGTACGTTTTACAGTTGTTCAGTACTTATGCATGTATGCATTACATGTGATCAATACTTATGAGTGTACGTTTTACACGTGTTTAATAGTAATGCATGTAGGTTTTACACGTGTTCAATACTTATGCACGTTTGCTTTAAATGTGATCCAAACTTATGCATGTATACATTACATGTGTTTAATACTTATGTATGTACGTTTCACATGTGTTCAATTGTTATGCATGTACTTTTACACGTGTTCAATACTTATGCATGTGCGCTTTAATGCATGTTTTCGGTTCTTGTGTGTGTACGCTGTACATATGTTCAATACATATGTATGTGTGCTTTACATATATTCTCATAATATTAGACCGCCTCCGTACTCTAGTGGGAGAGCGTTCGCCCGGAGAGCGGAAGGTCCGGGATTCGATCCCGGGCCGCGTCATACCAAAATACGTTAAACGATGGTACTTGTTGTTTCCCTGTCTGGCGCTCGGCATTAAGGGGCTAAAACAAGAACTGGTCAGCTTGACGTGGGGTATTTAACTGCAGCATGGTATCTCAGTGAGCTAGCACTATAAATCGGTTTCAGTCCGGACTAGTACAAGCAGCCACACACACATGTGCATACGCGTCGCTATATAAGTGCAATAATCTTGGACGCGACGTTAAACCAAATTTCACTTCACTTCACTTCTCTTAATATATAACAATTGCTCACAACTGTTTTTACGATTGGTTGCAAAACGTTGTTAAATGGTATTATAATCCAGAACAATTATTGACTTATGTCTAGATATGGAGCCATTTGTGGTATGCAAGGTTTGTCATTCATGTTGATACGAAGTTTGACGGTCTTGATCTTGTTTACGGTTACCAAAAGTTTCACTCGACAATCGGTTCTATTTACGCTGTCAGTCACTGGTTAAACCTGAAACACCGTCACCTTGCGGTATATTTTTTATGGCGCTTTAAGCCGGCAGAGTTTTTTCAAGTACAGTACATCCTGGATAAACAGTTAACATGAATGAAAGAAATCAGGCAGTATCGGAGACATAACTACCCATGCCAATGGGGAGTTTAATCACAATATCATATAATAAATTATTATTATTACAATGATCCCCACTGAAGCATTATTAATCACCAAGTCCTATACAGTAAACTACGGTTATAACGAACTCAAAGGGACTACTAATTTTAGTTCGTTATAACCATAATTCGTTATAAGCATATATACAGCATAACTACAGCTAATAGTCGGGACCAAAAAGTAAGTTCGTTATATCCGTCAGTTCGTTATAAGCGTGTTCGTTTTAACCGTAGTCAAAAAACCATTTAGAGTGCGCTTATACCTTGCACAAAATACATACATGGAACAAAAGTAGCCGCAAAGTAATGTTTGTTTGTTTGTTTGTTGTTTAACGCCGCACTCAGTAATATCCCAGGTATATGACGCCGGCCAAATATTAACACTTTAGGTATGTAATAATTTACAAGATGTGTCTGGCACATTATGATAACATAATCTCTATATACGGGTCCGGTCACATGAGCACATCTTCGCGAGGCAGGGCTGTTAATTGACTGTAAAAGTCCAGTTTTCTCCCTTGCCGAATAAGAAATAATGGAGTTATATTGTGGTTGGACGAACGAGTCTATGTATAGTCCAATCAAATTCACGTAACGAAATTGACATCAGGTTGGTAAACAACATAGATTTCAACGTGCAGATATGTCGGTTGCAGGATTTGCAAAAATTGTGTACCGTCAACTGGGCGGCAACAGATATTTTCTGTTTTCGCGACTCAGTGTTGATATAGTTGATATCAAACGGTAAAAGGGTTGTCGCTTTTGTTTGATATTAATTATTATGATAAATGAAAACACAATATGAAATCTATCACAGAGCTGGACATGAGAAATCCTGACGAAATGCTTGTAAACGGATAAAAGGAGTTGACGTGACAAACACACACAAAATACTTCAAATACTTACAGGGATTAACACAAAACTAAGTGACACATTGACATTAACGATTCTAGATATAACACACGACCTGCAATACAGATCATAGACGATAAACTATCTCGAAAATAAAGATTTTGAGATGACCGGATTCGGATATTATGGTACAGCTGTTGTGTGGAGTAGGGCCATTGAAGATGTGTTTAGCTACAGGGATGAACGTTGAGGGCTTAACATCTCTGCAAATATACTTTAGCTTTAGATATTTCTTTACACGTATTGTACTTGGAGGTGTCAAGCAGACCGCCCCGTGTGACATAGCTCGTTATATTGACACTGCTTCTGCAGGGAATATTACTGAATACCCAATGACTTAAGCTAGCATCTTAAGGCTGGGTCGTGATGTACTGTACTGGTGGGTGTGGGATAGTGTGTGTTGTAACATAGAGATAGTGAAGCTGTAACACGGTAGACCACGAAACTCATTGCCTGCGTTCTGTTCAAGCGCCTTCGTAAGCACATCAAAATATGGACACCCTTAGCAGGTGCTAGCTATGGATGTGTTATGGTGATACCATGTTTAAATGACAGAAGGTGGAATACTTGATAGAATGTATCCATGTTATGACATCGGAGAGTCCCCATAGGGTCATGATACAACATGGTGCAGTACGATACAAGGATACTTGAGTGAGTATCAAGGATCTTGGGTGGTTACATGATCGATGAGGATCTTCAAAGGAACAGAACATAGAACTGTAATATGTGTAATGTCTTTGTCTTTCGTCTTTCGTCTTTGAGATGAACGCTAACAACCTACCATGATAGGTTGGAGTTTAAAGTCATGTAGCTACAGACTAGCTTGTGGTGGCATTGTCCTCGGATTTCTTCAATTCGTTGTCGGCTTTGGTCTGCCAGCTTGGAAGCGAGATGCACGTGTCATTTCTGGGTTGTGGCAGAATTGCACCGCCTCTCTTTCCAAGTGTGAGTCCTATTCTACACACAGTGGAGAAGGTATGTATTTGAAAGCGTATAGTTGGCCGTTTTCTGTTGCCGACTAACACAGGCATCAAATGGTAGAAATGTTTGCATGTGTGTTTGTGGTGTTGATAAACACATCGCAGCTGTTGCTACCCCATCATCTTCATGGACACCATGCCTCATCACATGGTTGTTCCTATCCTAACGAACACGGAACTGTATCATGTATAGTTCAGTGTGCGGGGACCTTGTGTCTAATCATTAATATGGTTAGTTAGTGTCTGAGCGCGGAGCACGACATTGTTTGACGATTCGGGCGAAATTCATGTCCCGGGGCAATTCAGATGGGACCAACTTGAGCACATTTATCAATCACTTAAATATTACCTGACCATGCCGATGAACAAACATAGCCCTGATGATCAAGATAAGGGTAATTCCCTTCCCCCGGTTAGATTCTTTGAACGACAGCTATCAGACCACACGAACTTGCAATACATAGAATAACATAAAAAGTAACATTCACACATATTTCACCGTTCTAAAACAGATAAACATTTACTTCTGAGGTACGAAAATATTGTTTTGTTTTTCGCTATTTACATGTAGATGAGGCAGAAGACTACATTCGGTAGTCTCTTTTGCGGACTTCGCGGGTTCAAAGCCAGCTGACGACACTCGTTTTTCTTGAAATTGTTCTATCATCAAGGTAAATGATAGGGTAAAAAAGAAGTCATTGCCTAGTAACAAAAGCGACAAAAAAGAGCCATGGTTTAAATATGTGTTACATCAAACTATGGTTCAACGGCAATTGGCAAAGTAAAGTGTCCGTGTTCCGACAGTGTTGTCTGTGATCATCTGTCCATGTCAATAACTTTGAGTTTTTACCACATCCGGTGTTGCGTTTATTCGCTATTATCATATTCTTCTTGGAGTCAGCAAGATTGGTTTTACACCGATTGTAACAGTATTTCATTTATATGACGGCTTGTCGGCTTCGTGTGGGAGCAAGCCCGGAGGTGATGTATCTCTGAGTCTTTTGACACTTTGGTGAAACAAAAAGCTCTGGTATGGTGCTGACGAACCTAGAATCATGATCAGAGCAAATCGGGAATCGAAGCCACGATCATAGGTTTCTGGCACACATAAGGGAGGCAACTTTGCAGAGCGAATGATGCGCTTAAGACGCCGGGTTGCATTTGTCCCCAGTTCTCCTCGCAACCATTCACTGTAACCTTTGAAATATATTACGGAACATATTTAGATACCCGAATCCACTGACAATTGTCATTTGCTTGATTTAATTCATTGTTTGTGTATGAACAACCGAAGGGGCGTCTGCAACGCGCGGATCGTCTACGGGCTTTGCTGGAAACTTGCAGAAGTCAGAGTGTAGCGGCCAATGCGTTTAGTGTTTCACAGTCTGTGAAAAAACAAATGTTGACGATCGACCCCGTTCAGGGCGACCAAGGTCAACGACAAGAGTACAGGGCGAATTAAATTGCAGCACTTTTCAATGCGACAATGCTCACCCCATCACCACAGCATCCATAGAATGCCATGGCAAGCAATGGACCCAGACAGTTCCCCCACCGAATACATCTGGTACATGATAGTGAGAGTGCGTCAACATGATAGGGAGACGTCTCTGGCTCTCGATCCGACCACGTTGGCTGAACTTGGCCAGGCACTGCAAGGGGTGGGAGAGTGGGGGTGAGACAGACTACCCCAACTCGACATTTGGAGACACTTACACAGTATGGCTCATCGAGTGAATGAATGTTTGACAGATCGTGGCGGTATTACGCACAACTGATCGAAAAACGTCAACTTGGAAATTTCCCATCTCATCTCTATCGTCCTTCAAGATCAATGGCGGCCATAACATCTACCGTCATACTTCACTGTCGGTTTAGTTTATTAGCATCATACAACTACAAGAAACTAAAATATCTTACAATTTTGGAAGTTATTTCATAGAATTTCCTACTTTGTTTGAAGAGTATATTTACTATTTTATAAAAGTACACCAGGCTGTATAGCCTACATGTGAATGATAGATAACTTTCTCTTGCGATCAAGGAACAGGCGGTAATAAGCCCGCCTTTAAGTAAGATATAAACTTGTGATAGTAAACATATTCCAATTTTAAGCTACTGATGCTCGCAAACAAATGTAACCTTTGCCTCTCAGTAGTGTATACCTCGACAATGTCCTGTGACTCTTTACCAAGGAAATACTGACTGTCTGTCCCGGAATGTATTTTATCATCAATGGACCTCCATCAATACTTCCTATCAGGATATTTCTTTGTAATACAACTTATTTCTGTATTTAAACATTGTTCAGCCATTCGGATTAAAACTATTTTGTTTCATACACATACACGTATAGCTGCGATCAACTACGTCGAACTGATATTTTTTCGTTCTTGAGGGGTTCTAGGGTAACGCCGATTTGCAGTCCAAGCAAGTTTCGTTCCACCCCATTAATGTCCACTTTGTCACAAAACTCTAATTGTATTTTGATGGAATAAGATAATTAACACCCATATCGCAAACAATGTCTCAATTTAAACATGGCAATAAAGACAACGCCTAGACTAGTGAGTGAGTGGGTGAGTGAGTGAGTATGGTTTTACGCCGCTTTAAGCAATATTCCAGCAATATCACGGCGGGGGACACCAGAAATGGGCTTCACACATTGTACCCATGACGGGAATCGAACCCTGGTCTTCGGCGTTACGAGCGAACGCTTTAACTACAAGGCTACCCGACCGCCCCACGCCTAGACTAACACTGGAAACGGGTTCCAAAACGTGGAACACAGCCCCCCTTTAAGTTTGTTTGTTTGTTGTTTTACGCCGCACTCAGCAGTATTCCAGCTATATGACGGCGGTCTGTAAATAATCGAATCCGGACAAGACAATACAGTGATGAACATCATGAGCATCGATCTACGCAATTAGGATACGATGACATGCATCAACCAAGTCACCGGGCCTGACCACCCGATCCCGTTAGTCGCCTTTTACGACAAGCAAAGTCGCCTCTTTGAGTGAAACCTTAAAATGTCTTTGAACATACCGTCGACATAAGTGATTCCACATAAACTGCCACGCATACACTTGAAATTTAGAACTGACCAAAAATTACAAACTTATCACAACGTTGCCACACTGAAAACCGTCAGGGCAACAGTTCAAACTTCAGGTCCAAAACACAACTATGATACCCGTTCCAAATGCATCACCGTCGAATAACCATGTTTTCTTTGTGTAAGAAAAAAACTTTTATTTTTAGCCACCATCGAATATGATGTATACAGTAAACTACGGTTATAACGAACACACTTATAACGAACTAACGGATATAACGAACTAACTTTTTAGTCCCGACTATATGCTGTAGTTATGCTGTATATATGCTTATAACGAACTACGGTTATAACGAACTAAAATTAGTAGTCCCTTTGAGTTCGTTATAACCGTAGTTTACTGTACTTTTTTTTTTGCCCGACAGGTTTTATTCATATGACACAAATGACGTATGTTCCAGGTTGGTTCGACGCTGTGAGGGCAGTAGAGGCCGTAGCTCTTGTTAACTACTGCATATGTCTTGTCATCTTATGTGAGCTGAACTGTACATCCCGCAACATTCACGCTGTCAGATGTGACAGATTCGGCCTCCCAGCGTTGTGTGTCTGTACGGGTAGGGCTATTTACATACACCCCGTTATCATAATACCGTGTATTGTTGGTTATTTGAGATGTTACTCATGTGTTAATGTCCCTTATATTTGATCGGTGAATTCCTGTATGTACTCAAATGTTTGATTGCATTTTTCATACAGAAATCCCTTATTTCATGTCGGTTACATGCGATTACTATAAAATTAGAGGGCGGTTGACAACGCTCGACATTTATTGTAAACATATATCAACTGTATTGTCAATATATCAACACCATGTGCTTATTTTATTGGTAATCCTGTGGATAGGCATCAGATGGTTGGGGTCCATTATTGCCCATGCGATAATGACGGATTTGTGCACATACAGTTAAACTCATTTCTTCTGTTTACTGCATTGGGAACAATGACAGTGTAATCCTAGAATACACTATAACATAAACAGTCTGGCTTCTATGGCCCAAGAATATTTATATTTTATGAATTATTCATGATTTTCTGTAATCCCATGCCTCGAATAGGACTTGTAATTTGACATTTTACGAAATATGACTCAAAGCAAGGCAATTTATTTGACAACTAAGCATCATGTGTCATACCTATTAAATCATTTTATGAAACGTCAGCATCTTCTATTAATGCGATTTTCGAAATGTTTGGTTCGAGCTTCGATTTGAAAAATTGTACCAGAACAATCTATTCGTTCACCGGCTTGAATGTATAGATGCTACGTATTTCTTAAATTGAATAGAGAAGTTATACAGATACTTCAACTCAAGTGAAAGTATGTTGAGGTTACGGTTTAGGTATACGTATGTGTCGAGTGTCATCGAGTGTATTCTATCTCAATAATGAGTGATTTGCGTTTAACGTACATTGTTTCCCAGTTACATCACGGTGTATCAGCTTCACGTGGAAAGGCTGATGTGACGCATGTCTGTCTACCATCTCTGCGTGATAGTGATTCATACACACATGCTCATGACACAGTCGGAATCGTACAATCGACTCTGCTTTAACATAGGTTTGTCGTGTCTATGGAAAGGATTTTGTGGCTTGTATTGACACGTTTCTTGACTTTGGTGAAACCCAGGAGCAACGGTATGGTGCGGACAAACCTTCATATAAAACATACTCAGGACGATTCTGAAATTCGGTCAGCGGCCATACGTTTCTGGCACGCCTAAGGGCGCATCTATTCCATGAACCATGATGATGAGATTTTCAAAGATAATGAAAATATTTTATATTCTCACAACAATGTCTGTTTCATATATGCTTATTCATGTCCTTTTCAGGTGTTCTGGGTCTCGCTGGAGGAGTGGTTTATGCTGTGTGTGAAGCCGACGGACACTCCACGTTTTCCTCCGGACTCTATCTTGTATTGGTGGGTTCTACGTTTGGCCTCCTGTGTGGGGTCTTTTTGTTGTGTCATAAACCAAAGCTGTATGAGGATGAACTTGATCTTGACAGCATCCGCAGCGCACCTGTATTCAGCTCCACCATCAACCCAGTGTTTGTTGAACCAAGTCCCTTGCGAGCTGCTGAAACTGAAGTGTTTTACTAAATACACTCAATGGAGCTATTGAATAATTCATTGTTAACCACACCTAGTAGGCATACCATAACTACACTAGTCATATACATCCTGCTGCTGAAGACATTTCGAATTATTTCCACGACCCATCGTTATTGATAACGATTGAAAACAAACGATTTGATGTACACTAGAATCCACGCAATGTTGTGTTACTTTAAATATATTCTTATGTTAGCATTTAAATATTGTAATATTCAAATTACAAGTTTTTTCACTTCTTAACACGAACTATTTATATGTCTACAGTATGTATTACTGTTAATAAAATAACGGTACAATACGATGACACGTAATCAGCAGCCACGTTATAACCATAAGATTGAATGAGTGAGTGATATATTCCAGCAATATCACGGTGGGGTACCCCAGAAGTAGGCTTCACACATTGTACCCATGTGGGGAATTGAACCCGGGTATACTGCGTGACGAGCGAACGCTTTAACCGCTAGGCTACCCCACCGCCCTTGTTACCATATGAACCTTTCCAGTCGGGTGTGACGCTTTATTGCACAACATGTGTATCGCGTGCATACACGTACTTGTACATGTAGAAAATGGAAGAATAACATTTATGTTTACCGAAGCCAAGCTTTCCCTCTCAATGTTACACAAACGCATGTACTCCCACATAAGAGAGGGTTTATCGCCACGGAACATTATTTCAGTGATTTCACGGGTGTTATGTAAAAAGGGAGGAAAGCTCTAAGTGATGTATGACTTTAGTGAAATGTTGGAGCATAGCTATAGTGCGTAGAAACAAGGAACATGTTGACACACCCCTTGACTCTCCCTCTCTCTCTCTCTCTCCCTCACTCTCTCTCGCCCCCTCACTCTCTCTCCCTCTCCTTCTCATTCTCTGCCCCTCTCCCCCCTCTCTCTCCCCCTCATTCTCTCTCCCTCTTTCTCACTCTCCCTCTCTCTCTCCCCCTCTCTCTCCCTCTTTCTCCCTCTCCCTCTCTCTCTCCCTCTCTCTCACCCTCTCTCTCCCTCTCTCTCCCTCTTTCTCCCTCTCCCTCACCCTCTCTCCCCTTACTCTCTCTCCCTCTCACCCACTCTCTCTCCCCTCACTCTCTCTCCCTCTTTCTCCCTCTCCCTCTCCCTCACTCTCTCTCCTCCTCACTCTCTCTCTCCCTCTTTCTCCCTCTCACCCACTCTCTCTCCCCTCAATCTCTCTCCCCCTCAATCTCTCTCCCCCTAAATCTCTCTCCCCCTCACTCTCTCTCCCCCACTCTCTCTCCCCTCACTCTCTCTCCCTCTTTCTTCCTCTCCCTCACTCTCTTTCCCCTCACTCTTTCCCTCTTTCTCACTCTCCCTCACTCTCTCTCCCCCTCACTCTCTCTCCCTCTCCCCCACTCTTTCCCCTCACTCTCTCTCCCCTCTCTCTCCCTCTCTCCCCCTCTCTCTCCCTCTCCCTCTTTCTCCCTCTCTCCCCCCTCACTCTCTCTCCCTCTTTCTCCCTCTCCCTCACTCTCTCTCCCCTCACTCTCTCTCCCTCTTTCTCCCTCTCCCCACTCTCTCTTCCCCTTTCTCTCTCTCCCTCTTTCTCCCTCTCCCTCTCCCTCACTCATTCTCCCTCTCTCTCTCCCCCTCTCTCTCTCTCCCTCTCCCTCTCTCCTCCCCCTCTCCTCCCCCTATCTCTCCCTGATGCATGACTTTAGTGAAATATTAAAGCATAGCTATGGTGCGTAGAATCAAGGAACATGTTGACACACCCCTTGATTCTCCCTCTCCCTCCCTCTCCCTCTCACTCTCTCTCCCTCACCCTCTCTCCCCCCTCTCTCTCCATCTCTCTCCCTCTCTCGCCCTCTTTTTCTCTCCCTCTCTGCCTCTTTCTCCCTCTCACCCTCTCTCTCCCCCTCTTTCTCCCTCTCCCTCTCCCCACCCCCTCTTTCTCTTTCTCTCGTTAGGTTACTCGTATGTGTAGGAGTGATACTGGGACAGTCGCCCATACTTTATTCACATACAAGCTACAGTGTCACAAGCATGGGTTCGGTCCCAATCTCGTCTTTGATGTGTGATTTATCATTGTCACGTTGTTTCAACGGAAGCAGAATAATGTGAAGTTAGCCTCTCCCAGCATGAGGGGTGACAGCTAAGCCGTCGTTACAATTATTTTATGTATCATGGTTATTCAAATTAAGTGGAGGTTTCGCCCATCAGCCACATCCGCTGTCATGAAACAAAAACACCATTGTGTCAAACGCAAGGGCAATGATGACGTACTGGTATTGTGTTTTCATTCTCTTGAAGCTTCACTGTCGAGCACCATTTTGAGGGTGAGGAAAGGTTCAGTATCATTGCACTGAATGATGGGGATTCATGTATCGAACGAAATATATATTTAATAACGTCACCTCAGCATTGATCTCTCCCTCCCTCTCCCCCTCTCTCTCTCTCTCTTCACTCTCTCTCTTTTCTCTCTCTCACTCTCTCTCTTCTCTCTATATCTCTCCTCTCTCACTATGTCTAACTATCTCTCTTTCTCTCTCTCACTCTTTCTCTTCTCTCTCTATCTCTCTCGCTCACTCTCTCGTCTCTCTCTCACTCTTTCTCCTCACTCTCTTTTCTCGCTCTCGCGCTCCCTCACTCTCTCTCTCGCTCACTCTCTTTCTCTCTCTATCTCTCTCTGTCTATATCTCTCTCATTCTCCCTCGCTCTCTTCTCTCGTTAACTCTCTCCATTTCTCTCTCTCGATCTTTCTCACTCTCTTGTCGCTATTTCTCTTCTCTATCTCTTTCTCTCTCTCTCTATCTCTTCCTCTCTCTTTCTATCTCTCCCTCTCTCAAAAAGAGGTTGAGAAGAAGTTCAGTTTCATTGCACTGAATGATGGGGATTCATGTAGCGAATGAATATATATTTAATAACGTCACCTCAGCATTGATCTCTCCCTCCCTCTCCCTCTCTTTCTCTCTTCACTCTCACTATCTCTCTTTTCTCTCTCTCACTCTCTCTCTTCTCTCTATACCTCAGCATTGCGATTCTACCATTGAATGCAATGCTAACGTGCACTAGGCTAAGTTAACATGTACACCGTATATCCATAGACCGTATGTTACCCTTGCATTATACTCGGGTGTCTCCGCGTATCCTCAGGTTAAGAAAACAAGATTAACCCGCCCGAGTGAGTGAGTGAGTATGGTTTTACGCCGCTTTTAGCAATATTCCAGCAACATCACGGCGGGGGACACCAGAAATGGGCTTCACACATTGTACCCATGTCGGGAATCGAACCCGGGTCCTCGGCGTGACGAGCGAACGCTTTAACCACTAGGCTACCCGACCGCCCCTTAACCCGCCCGAAGCTTTCTCACTTGTACTGAGTGCTTCCTGTTTTACGGCCCTATTGCGCGAGTCGCTATAGAGTGTGGATATCCTGTGTCTGCTTGGTTGTTGTTTAAAGCCCACTCAGCAATATTCCAGCTATATGACGGCGGTCTGTTAATAATCGACTCTGGACTAGATATCTGTTGATTGATATCATGAGCACCGATCCACGCAATTGGGATGCGATGACATGCATCAACCAAGTTAGCTAGCCTTACCACTTGATCCCGTCTGTCGCCTCTTACGTCAAGCATGGTCGCCTTTTACGACAAGTATTTAATTGGGGTTCCGAAGACATATTCTAATCGTGTGACATCGAAGTAAAATCTACATCGCAGACAGTCTACAGTGTGTCCATCTTTTCAGATGCTAGTAACAAATCTATATCTTAACGATTCTACTAATACGGAGCTTTTATGTGCAACACAGAGATAATCATGTCAATGTGTATTATCAATATCCAATTTGTCTAAAACAAAAACTTAAATACAAATATAATAATGCGTCATGTTATTGAAAATAATTGTCTACCACAAAAAATACAATGCTGCTGAAAAAAAACATCTAATCTCCAGACAAAATCCCAGGTCCCTAAATTGTATTTCGGTATTCAGTGATTTCACGTCATGTCAGCTGTTATGGTGGGAAAGCCCGAGTGAGTTTGATTTTACGCCGCTTTTAGCAATATTCCAGCAATATCACGCCGGGGGACACCAGAAATGGGTTTCACGCATTTTACCCGTGTCGGAAATCGAACCCGGGTCTTCGGCGTGACGAGCGAACGCTTCAACCACAAGGCTACCCAACCGCCCCATGGGGGAAAGCCCGAAGTGATGCAATGCTAAGACGTTTGCCACTTTGGTGAGTCTACGAGGCAGGGCCATGGTGCTGACAATCCTAGAAATATATATAATGAGTTGAATCCATAATCATACAATTCTGGTGTGCCTAAGGGACGTAACTCTGCTCAGCGAATTGCGGCGCCTTGGACAACGAGGCCACACGTGTCCCCTATTGGAGAATGAAACTGATAAAACAGTCAAGAACACAGAACCTGTCAGGCAGAAGCTGAATGTCATACTTTTTTTATTTGTTGTATATAAAAAATATTATATCTTCACAAAAAAATTATGACCAGGGATGCGTTTAATTTAAGTAACACTACAATTGATAAATGAGAAGTTACTTGATCACAGTTACGTTTGTCTCTGACTTTTTTATATTTTAAAATTTACCGATGAGAGAATTAACTTTATAAAACAAAGGCTTGGAAAAACCAAATAAATTTATTCCTCTGTCTAACGAATACGTGTGGAACAGGGCGTTGATGCACATTGTAGGTTAACCTCTGACCTGAGTGAGACGAAACAGACCTGTTGTGTTCTGAAACAATGGGAAAGGCGCTATCAGGTCATCCCGTATGCCCTGTCTGAATATCAAATGAAGACTGTTTTGTTGACCATTGACCAACAAGGTGTAGGTCGTCCTGACCCTTTCTACAGACATCACGTAAAACGCCGTTTACTGTCAAGAAGTAATCGCCTGTCTTGGCTTGTGAAGTGATTTAGGAGACATTTGACATTCATGTTGAGCCGAAATCCTTCTGTTTCATTATTTCCACTCTGCTAGAAAAATATTAAGTAACAATATTTAATTCAACTTTCCACGTGGAATTCACTGACGTTGACAGTAAAAAATAACTGAGGTTACCTAACATTAATTATAATTTCGTTCATTATTGAAATGAATGTGAGAGTTGGGTTTAGCGCCGCTTTAGCAATATTGTAATTAATCACGGCGTGTCAAGGTAATGTGGGAGGAAAGCCCGAGGTGATGCAGGTTTTAGACGTTTACCACTTTTTGTGCAACACACGAGCACGGGTACAGGCAAACCTAAAACATAATCGTGGCCAATCTGGTTCTAACCCAAAGTCGTTGGTTTCTGGCGTTCCCAAGGGACGCAACTCTACACAGTGAATTGCGACGCCTCCGACTACTGGGCCACCCGTGTCGCCTTACTAATATGTAACAAAGTGAGAGACAACAGCACAATCCAAATGCATGAATCGCAATTATTCTTCGGTAGTAGTGAATAGATGCAATCACGTCAATCTAGAATGACTTCTTGGTGAATAATAATAATAAGCGACTTAACCTTTCCATACACACGAGAAATTTCAGCTGAGAACAGTAGATTGTACGGGTTTTAGTGACTGACTGGATTTGGTTCAAAGCAGCTTTGAACACTGTCATTATTTCAGTTACATCATGGCATGTCAGCTTGATGTAGGGGAAGACCGAAGAGATGCAGGTCTTAGACTTGTAAATAAAGCGACAAAACCATTTCCATATCCATAAGAAAGTTCTGCCAAAAGCAGAGTCGATTGCACGATTCCGAGGATATCAATAGCATGTGCTTATAAATCACTATCAAATAGTGATGATACCAGTTGTTAAAGATAGGTGAGCGTACTCTGCCACACCGTTCGCACCATCACAAACACACCCAAAGGCAAGTCAATTGTTCACCTGAAAAAAACCACGAGAACATATGGTACATATGGTATATGGTACAAATAGTGAAATAACATCGGACATCATTTTTGTCACTGATGCGTCAAATTTGGAAATATCAACGACACATAAACAGGGGGCACGGGTGGCCCAGTTGTCTGAGGCGCCGCGATTCTCTGTGCAGAGTTGCGTCCCTTGGGCGCTCCTGAAACCTATGATTGTGGGTTCGAATCCCGGTTCGCCCCGATTATGTTTCTAGTTTTGTCAGCACCATACCCGTGCTCGTGGGTTTCACCGAAGTAGTAAACGTCTGAGACATGCATCACTTCGGGCTTTCCTCCCACATTAAGCTGACACGCCGCGATATAACTGGAATACTGTTAAAAGCGGCGTTAAACCCAGCTCACTCACTCACTCACTCACTCACTCATAAACATTAAGTAATTCATTGTGTCATAGATCATGGCGCACAAAGATCCGGAAGACATTCAGACAATGTTATTTTTAGTCTGGCTGTGCAACACGTACATAACACCTGGATCCCTGTGACATGAAACCACAGCTGCAGGTTATAATAAATCTTCCTCTTTCCCAAAGCACTTTCCTGCATCCGATTAATATTGAAGCTGTTTACCTAACGCAGTCGAGTTTCACAGGAGTTCCTGTTTTGTCTCATTCGGATACATGTATGATATTGGAGATTCCGAAGCTATCTGTGAAAGGTAATGTATGTATCTAGATATTGACAACATTGAAATACATTTGGTTCCTATGTTCACGATCGCAGCAGGGTTGCACTGATTAAGTTGTATTTTCTTAAGAATGGTTTTACATGTATGTTTGCTTTTGCATTTGTACCACATGTTCCCGTGGATTTTCTTTCAGATAAACACTTCACTTGTATTTGCATGTGTTTGTGACGGTGTGACAGGTTACAGTTTTCGCGAAAACCTGGTGCCATCCTTTTTTTATAGTGATTAATAACACATGCCCATGATACAGTCGGAATCGTACAATGGACTCTGAGTTTAGGGGATATTTCTGATAAATATGGAAAGGGCTTTGCCGCTTTTATTCCAACTGTATGGAAGTATCTTCAGATAAAGTTTTTTTCTTTATAGGAATATTTTGACAAATGGACGTTAATCCTGTACTGTACTGTCATGGTTTGTTCCGTTCTATATGACCTTTGTTGTGTGGCATAGTATAGTGAGACTTACAACCAGGACGGCACACTCATCTGCACCTAAGAGTGTCAGAAGAAGGATTTTCAGTTTGTGTATAGTTTTGTGAAACATGAAACTTTAAAATGAGTGAATAGGGTTTAACGGTTTGAACAGCATTTCAGTTGTAGTACGGCGTGACAGATTGACACGGAAGGGATACCCGTGGATATATATTGGTGATAGACGCTTACCTGTTTACTGAAACCCAAGGACAGGGGTGGTTTATTGTTGACAAGAATCAAAATCAGGGCGAACCTAAAATTCGAACGCACGGCCATAGGATTTCGACAAGCATCTGGGACACAGCTCTACACGACGAATTGCGGCACCTCAGACGACTAGACCGAACCCCCTCCTTTAGTCGCAACGCTCTGACGGACCCAGTTGCATGAAACCTTCATTGACTTATGTGTTCATTAAACACTCCTGGTTATTTAAATGCTTAATATAATTTTTTAATAGCTAAATAAAAAATGGATTGAACAAAGCCATAATTATACTGCCCTGAACTAATACTACTTGAAAGGTATGATTTCAGTTAACGTGTCATTATACAAGGATGTTCCCCAATTAGTTTCGAACAAATCCGTTTTTGCAAAGAAACACTTTTCTCCTGCTCCTATCCTCTGTCAAATGGCCGCGTTGGAGCAGATCACTCGACTCGGAAGTTGGGTAAGTTATTAGTGTCCATTGTTCATTCCTGAAAGCATATAAATAGATAATAGAGACATGGTTATATGGATTAGACGGATTCCACTGCAGATACACAGATGTAGCGGTATATAACCTTTTTAATAGTTATAAACAGTGTGTGATGATCCAGTCTGACATACATGTATTCATGTATTCATACTACACAACGTCACAGCGATAACATACAAGCAGAAATAGCACAGGATTTCCTGCATTCTCAAACGTGTCGTGATTGTGACGAGTTAAGGTTGTCAGTCTGCCCGAGATGTCTCAGTATTACGACCTGTTCCTAACACCCAATGAAACACTGTCAATCAATGTCACCCCTGCTCCGACACCACTTTTGAGGACAGTACGCTGCTGCAAGGGTAAATGTTAGGATGGACACATTACACAATATCATCCTCACTAATCTGCTTCACAATTCACTTTGTCTGGATGTGCACAACTTGACATCATTTCGATTATGAGTTTCTCGTCCTTATTAAGGAACATTAACGGGGTGACTTGTGAAGACGGGTGTTTTACTTGATTCATTAAAAGCGACATTTTTACCAGTATATTACGTTTTAAATATACAGCGCCAATGCCAGAGAACATAGCGCAAAAGGCAAATTAATTTTGGAAAACTATAAGAATGGATCATTGAAAATCAGTGATGACACCAGGTGTTCGCGAAACAAGTTGGACAATATAAACATACCCTGCCCCATCACATACCTCACAACTCATACAGGTCATTGTGAATATATTCGTATGGTTGTATTGTATTGATTAAAATGTTCTTCTCTTTAAAATTCAACTTGTGATGATTTACTAATATAGTATAATAGTAACTTCAGAATGCTTTGATACCCAGATTTATTTTGCATTTTCAGTGTTTAAATGAAATAAAACAATGCATTGTCTGGTTATAGTTTATTTATGATGACACATATCCACACAGGGAAGTTACCACATATTCTTCATGAACATGCATGCAGTCTTGTTTCCTGTTGTGCCTCATTTATACATGCCATTGTTGTGTGTTCGTTGTCGTAACAGCTGGCATCACTCATGTGTCGGGCAGATTGTCTTGACATTAATTGTTTATACTTTACATTGTGAGTTAAAACTGCAAACATATTATTTGTGATAATGAACTAGTGCATAATTCACCGATGACCGACAGTGGACCTTAAACGTAGATGTCTAAGAGCATATTTACAAACAAAAGAATTGTCTTTTCTTAAACTTTACGAAAGCCTTAAGATTACCCCTGTCTTTGAACTGGGCCCTATACATCCATTAATCTCACGCTTGAGAAGTTATGAGATTTATAGCCTGTCCATCTCAAAGATCGTCACCTCTTGTTTGAGATCTTGGGAAGAAGGGCGCCCATTTTAGAATCTTAGAGATTTTTCTGAAGATTCGTATATTGTCGGAGATAATCAGAAGATATAACGGGTAAGTGGCTTTGTTTTACAGGATCATCCCTTGTGTAATACAATGGTTTGCTACAAACAGGTATCGAGGATGTTATATACCACCTACGTAGGCCGTCGCAAACACGCCCAACATTAACTCAGTGACTTGAGAACCCGATAACAAGTGAAATTGTTGTCACTCATTCTTGCATCCTTTACAGGAAATATCTTCTTTAAGAGCGCTCATGTTTATATATATATATATATATATACATATATATATATATACATATATATATATATATATATATACATACATACATATATATATATATATATATATATGTATATGTGTATATGTATGTATATATATATATATATATATATATATATATATATATATATATATATATATATATGTCCCGTGTTTATCGGGGTCGCTTGTATATGTAAGTGGTGAGATGCACTGGAGTACAGTAGCACATGTGTTAAGAAATTCACAAAATAATTACACAAATCGGATTGTTCTCCTACATTTTTCAGTTTTAAATTCAGTATATATATAACACCTATTCTATTCTATTCTATTTTCTGTTATACAATTTCTATAAATTAAAAAGAAAAAATCTTGTAACTGACTGTATTTAGTTACGTATTTAGATCAAAGCTAAAAGAAGCCGTACTGTCTCGCCTGCCTTATTGTGTGTTCTATTCTAGCACAACACATAAGTATATAATTCCCACATGGGTAAAATGTGTCCCCTACTGTACTACACTGTAATGCACTGTCCAAGCCATAGTAAGTGTCCACTGCGCCGATAGGCAATGTACTGTCCTACCCATAGTAAGTGCCTCCTATTCTGTACTCTAATGTACTGTCCTGTACTGTACTACACTGTTATGTACTCCCCTGTACTGTACTACACTGTAATGCACTGCACTGTACTACACTGTATTGGACTGTCCTGTACTGTCCTCCATTGTAATGTACTGTCCTGTACTGTACTGCACTGTAATGTACTGTACTGTACTACATTAAATGAACTGTCCTGTACTGTACCACACTATCATGTACTGTACAGTACTACATTGAAATGGACCGTCCTGTACTGTACTGCACTGCAATGGACTGTCCTGTACTTTACTACACTCTAATGGACTGTACTGTACTACATTAAATGGACTGTTCTGTACTGTACTATACTCAATCGGACTGTCCTGTACTTTACTACATTGAAATGGACTGTCCTGTACTTTACTACATTGTAATGGACTGTCCTGTACTTTACTTCACTATAATGGACTGTCCTGTACTGTACTACACTATAATGGACTGTCCTGTACTGCACTACACTGTAATGGACTGTCCTGTACTGCACTACACTGTAATGGACTGTCTTGTACTGTGCTATACTATAATGGACTGTCCTGTACTGTACTGTACTACGCTATAATGGACTGTCCTGTACTGCGCTACACTGTAATGGACTGTCCTGTACTGCACTACACTGTAATGGACTGTCCTGTACTGCACTACACTGTAATGGACTGTCCTGTACTGCACTACACTGTAATGGACTGTCCTGTACTGTACTACACTGTAATGGACTGTCCTGTACTACACTGTAATTGATTGTCCTGTACTGTACTATATTCTAATGGACTGTCCTGTACTGTACTCCGCAGTAATGCACTGTCCTGTACTGTACTTCACTGTAATTGACTGCCCTGTACTGCACTACGCTGTAATGCACTGTCCTGTGCTGTACTTCACTGTAATTGACTGTCCTGTACTGTACTACGCAGTATTGCAGTGTCCTGTACTGTACTTCACTGTAATTGACCGTCCTGTACTGTACTACGCTGTAATTGACTGTCCTGTACTGTACTATATTGTAATTGACTGTCCTGTAAAGTACTACATTGTAATTGACTGTCCTGTACTGTACTACATTGTAATTGACTGTCCTGTTCTGAAGAAAGGTGTAATGCACTGCCTTGTACTATACTGTACTACTCTGTAATCCACTGTCCTGTACTGTACTGTACTACACTGTAATGCACTGTCCTGTACTGTACTGTACTACACTATAATGCACTGTCCTGTACTCTACTTCACTGTAATTAACTGTCCTGTACTGTACTACGGTGTTATGCACTATCCTGTACTGTACTACTCAGTAATGCACTGTCCTGTACTGTACTTCACTGTAGTTGACTGTCCTGTACTATACTTCACTGTAATGCACTGTCCTGTACTGTACTTCACTGTAATTGACTGTACTGTACTACGCAGTAATGCACTGTCCTGTACTGTATTTCACTGTAATTGACTGTCCTGTACTGTACTACGGTGTTATGCACTGTCCTGTAGTGTACTACGCTGTAATGCACTGT